GGGGGGGGGGGGGGGGCCGGAGAGAGAAAGACATAGATGGCATGACTGACGCACAGCATAGAGGTCGATGTGTGTCGGGTGTGTGTGTGTGTGTGCGTTTATGTGTGTCGTCAGGTTTTTGTCGCCGGGCTTCTTTCAGAAGGTGGTTGTGGCGTCTGAGAATGAGGACCTGCTGCATGGACGGGCATGATGATGGATGGATGGATTAAGCAACCTATCCATCCATCCATCCATACGTCGATGCATGAAGGCAGCTCGATGGGTGTACAGCTAGCCAGGCAGCCACAGTTGGCCAGGGCAGGGCTTGTTACGTTGTGTTGCGTTGCGTTGCGTTTGTACATAGCTGACTTGGTCCTGTCCGTCTATCTGTCGGTCTGTCCTGTGGCTGACGTCATGCCTGTCTGTCTGTCTGTATGCCTTGATGCCCATTTTTGTGATGCCTCACCATGGCACGAAGTGACTGACACAGCCGGCTTGGTTCATCTTTACCTGCATGAGCTCCTTGCGACATGAGTGAATGACAGGAAGAAGTTGTCCCCACACTGGATCACCTGTGAGTTGTCCCAGTGACTCTGTCTATTTCTCGTTCTCAGCGAGTAATGCACATGCATCGTCCATTGTAGTGCTGTCGTCAGATCAAGACACATACATACATACATACATACGGCCTTTGCGTGCTCCTCCATCTCGAAAAGGCGGGAAAAGGCAGCAAGGGCTCTGATCGAGTGAGGATCGACTCGCTGATTTTCTCGGATCTGGCACATTCATTTCCCGATGTTTGCACACGAGTCGCTTCTCAGTGTGATCAGTCACACATTTCGCCGAAGAAACAGCCGAAAGGAGGGCGGAAGCGCTTTCGAAGCGATCTTGCAAGCTCAAGAATGAGGAAGAGAACGTGCAGGCACTTGTAGTGATGCAGAAGGGCACCAAAACAGCCGAGTAAGTGCACACCCTTAGCTCAGTGTGTCACCGGCGAAGATCTCTGCATGGTATGTGTGTTGTCGTTCAGCATCGATTCGGAGGACGAGGCGTTCGACGGGACGTTCGACTGGGACAGCCAGCAGGTAAGGCGGAGGAATGACACACACACAGACGGGAAGCGCACGAACACCCTTTGGTTCCGCAGCAACGCGCCTTGGCCACGCGAGGCGAATCAGTGACGGCGGCCGAGAGCGCGCCGGAGCCAGACGAGTACTTCTCCGATAGCGATGATGTATACAGTGACGATCTCGAGGACGTCGATGACTTCGCTGTCTATGGATCAACCCAGGTACAGTGCGTGAGCGGGTAGATGGTGTGTGTGTGTGTGTGTCGATCTATGGATGGATGCTGCTCGTTGTTTGTCTGTCAGGGTCGCGGACCGAACGCCCAGAGCGGCCAGTCATCCTCTGCCAGGACGTATCAGCCGCTACAGCATCGCGTGGCCGGCATCACCGAGAGAATGAGCCTCAACTACAGCCCCTTGCCAGACGATCTCACCGGCACCACGGTCGACCAGGTTGCCAAAAACTCCATCATCAGCGGACAGAAAAAGGCCGCACAACACCGGTCGGTGGGGCGGCAGGCAGGCAGGCAGACAGACAAGCGACAGCCATGTGTGTGTGTGTTGTGTGGTCAGCCATCGCGGGTTGACGCAGGACACTCGTGCGACGGTAGAGCAGGTGTTGGATCCCCGGACGAGGCTCATCCTGACCAAGCTGCTCAACAGGGGCCTCTTCAGCGAGATATATGGATGCATCAGCACAGGCAAAGAGGTCAGCCAGCCAGGGAAACACTCCACCACACCACATGGCTGAGTGCATCTGGGCGTACACACAACGTACGTATCACCAGGCGAATGTGTACTATGCCGTGACGGAGGATGGTGGAGAGCGCGCCGTCAAGATCTTCAAGACGTCCATCCTCGTCTTCAAGGACAGATCAAGATACGTCGAGGTCAGCCAACACACCACACCCACCCGAGGGGGGTGGACACAACACACGTGTTCTTATCTGTCAGGGTGAGTTTCGCTTTCGCCGTGGGTACATCAAGTCCAGCAATCCCCGCCGCATGGTGGCCCAGTGGGCAGAGAAGGAGTACAGAAACCTCAAACGAATCGCAGCCAGCGGCATCAGGTCAGTGGTGGAACCAGGAAGCCGCCCAGACAGCGCTCACAGTGAGACCGTGTTGACGTCCTTTCGGCTTGTGTGTGTGTGTGTGTGCGTGTGTGTGTGTGCGTTCAGGTGTCCGGCGGGGATAGAGCTGCGTTCCCACGTGCTGGTCATGAGCTTCGTGGGACGGGATGAGGTGGCTGCTCCGAGGCTCAAGGATGCCATCGCAGACATGACACACGTACGCCGGCTGACAGGGAAGACACACATCAGCCAAGCGGGGCAATCGATCCTGTGACCCCCCTCCCTGTGTGTGTGCATCATCGATCAGGATGAGACGTGGCGGGCCTACGTGGAGGTGGTGGCCACCATGCGCACTCTCTACCAGGTCAGCCAGCACACTCACTCGTTGCCACACCATATCCCTCCCTCCCTCCTGCAGACCGGCCGTTTGGTCCACGGCGACCTGTCAGACTACAACTTGCTATGGCATGATGGCCACGTGACGGTCATCGACGTGTCCCAATCGGTGGAGCACGACCACCCCCACTCACTCGACTTCCTCAAGAGGGACTGCGTCAACGTCACGGCATTCTTCAGGAAATACTCCGCCCAAGAGACACAGGCCAGCACATCCACGCCGCCGCCCGGTCTTCTGTCGGTCATGACTCTGTTCGACTGGATCATCGCCGCAGAGCTGCCGTCAGACTTCCCTCCTGCCAATGAGGATGGAGTAGGGGCGGGCGAGGGTGAGGGCTACGAGGCCTTCGACGGCCTGTGTGCGCGGCTGGATGTGTGGCTGCGGTCGGTGCATCAGCTGATGGTGCAGCCGCCAGAGACTGCTCCGGCGGACGGCGATAGGAGAGGAGGTGTGGGTCTGACGGCAGGTGAGGCGGCCAGGCGGCGGCATAATGAGGCCGACGAGGCGCTTTTCCTCGAGACCTGGATGCCCTCACACCTGCACCAGGTACACAAACGCCTGCAAATACATCCGCAGCCTTCTCCTGTCTATGTTCGTCCCGGTGTGTGTGCAGGTGTCCGATCTGGCAGTGCTCGAGAAGGAGATGGAACGCCGGCAGCGGGGCGAGGACACGCTCTTCGAGCGGTTTCTTGGAACGGCCCCGCCCTCTTCTGCTGCCGACCAAAAGTCATCGACTGGCGACACACACGGCAGCAGGGAGGAGGCACAGGGAGAGGGCGGGCAGCAGGGTCAGGAGGAGCAGGAGAGCGATGGCGTTGCAGAGAGTGACAGCAACGATGATGATGACGACCAAGATGACAAGTTCGACGGTCGGTGAGAGATGCATGGATGGATGGAGGCACTCACTCGGTGTGTTGTCATGGTTCACACACTCTTTGCAGGTCACCGCCCCGACGGCGTGAGCAAGAAGGAGTGGAAGCAGAAAGTCAAGGAGGTCAGGAGAGCTGCACGGCACAGACATATCTATGGTGCTATCGGTCACGGTCGCCATCCATGTGTCAGGATCGTCGCGAGAAGCGCAAGACCAAGATGCCCAAAGCAGTCAAGAAGAAGGCCGTCAACAAAGCCAAAAACAGATAGACAGACGATGGCGCTACGCATGCTGTTGGTGGTGGTCGTTGCTGATGTACCCCACGTGTGCCCAAGTATTGTATGTTTATGTGTCTGTGAATGTTGTGTGTGTGTGTGCGTGTGCGTGTTGGTTTTGTCCTTTCGATGGACGCTGACGAACGAACATGTTTTGATTCTCTTCATGATCATGAAAGAAGATGCCATACAAGTTCCTTCCTCATATCGACACGACGCGAAGACATAGAGAGTCAGCAAGTATCAGCAAGCGACCAGCAAGCCACCCACCCCAGTGGCCATCAACAAAAATGAAACAAGCCCTGCCCTGACATGCAGAATCCTATCGATAGCTAGCTTCCCACCAACACAACACAACTCGACACACAACCCAACACCGCTAGCTAGATCTTGCCTTCCTTGGGCTGCCGTGTCAGAGAGAACCGATACAGCTCCTCAAATATCGCCCTCAGCCGACTCACCTCAGACACTATCAGCTCCCGCCCGCCTGCCTCGCCCTCACCACCCGCCCCCTCTGTTAGCGACAGCACCACACTCTCGCAGGCGGCGTCGAACAGATGAAGCAGGGGCCGGGGAAGCGATAAAAAGAGAACGAAGCAGGCGTCATAGAGGGTAACGGCGATCCGTTCCTCCTCCTTCTGGCCCTCTTCGTTGGGCACCTCCAGGGGGGCGTGGACACCTGCTGACGGGCTGAGGACACTCGAGCTGTCCGTCGCGAAAGGCCGGGGGCGGGGAGGTATGTCGGTGTCTGATGTCGGTGGCGGCTGGGTGTGGGTGGACGTAGAGGTGGAGGTGGAGGTGGGCTTTGCCTTAATGTTCTGCCACACCTGCTCGAAGATGACAGAGTCGATGTTTTCCTCCTCATACACACCTGCGTGAATCCAACACACGCGACATATATGGCATCGATGTGTGCGGCTCGATTTCACGATGGTCCGACTCACCCGAGAGTTGTTGATGAAGGGGGAACTTGCGCAGGGCCGCTATGCATTGGCTCACCCGCTGCTTCTCGGCATCGTCGACTGACAGACCACACACAATGCAGAACATGCCCACGCATTCCATTCTTCTCTTCTATCCACTGTCCCTCTCGTACTTACTCGGTGCCGTGTCGAAGTGAATCTGCGGAGTGAAGGGCGTCCGAGACAAGAATCTGCTCAGCCGCTCGTACTCCAGCACCACAGACGAGCTCGCATCAGCGTCACCAGCAGCTGATGCACTTCTTTGACAGTGTGTGTGCAGCGCCATCGCCTGCATCGCTGTCGTCGTCGCCACGAGACTCAGCATCGACGGCGTCCGCACAAGGCCGCGCAGGAACAGCCGGAAGCACTCCATCAGCTTCTCCATCGGCAGACGAGCCTCCCAATCCCCAGCCACATAGCTCACGCCGTTGGGGCGGCCGGTGGGAGCGGGTGCAGGCGCCTCGCCTGCCCCTGACGGCTCTCGGCAGGGACACTCCTCGCAGGCAGAGGCAGATGAGGCGCGTCCGTCGACCGGGCCGGCAGGGAGTTTGCCTTGCAGCTGTAGGATTGAAGACCGGAAGGACTTGAAGATCCAGCCGGCGGATGCTTGTGGCGGGAACTCGACGCGGAAGAGGGCGAGTGGTGCCTTTGACTTGTCCTTCTCGGCCTTGGATATCATCATCCAGCCGCGGGAGTGACCTGACATGGATGGACAAGACAGGGCAGACAAATGCACGCATCGTGAATGGCGTTTACATCGGTATGTGCTGTACCTGTGGATGGGTCTTTGAGCGTCATGGCCTGGTAGAGCTGCGAGAGCGACACCCCTGACACAGAAGAAAACACAACGGAATGAGAATGATCTGTGACGTCTTCACGCCTCTCTGCATACTGGTGCCCTTACAGTGTGGTGGGTATTTGAATCTTGCCACATCAAGAATCAGCACCTTGTCAGACCCACGGTGGAATCCGCCTGCACACACAAACCACACAAATGCACCAACAGCCGTCTGGAATGAGTGTCGTGTCCTTTGCTGCCGCGGGAAGGAAAGCTGTATACTTACCGATGGGGCTGAAGTGACCCGTGCCCGTCTGGCCAAGGCCACTACGGCAGTACGACACGATACAGAAGCCGCTGGCCGGGTCGGAGCAGGCCTTCTCGACCAACACACGGAACTGCATGAGTGACCACAGACAGAAAACACACCGATGTTTGCTGCATGTGTGAGTGGGTGTGTGTATCTTTTTGGTTTGCTCACCTGTTCCAGTGATGCAGGAGTGCCTGCCGGCACACCAGCGGATGGCCTTGCTGGTTCGTCCGGCTCGGCTGCCTCTGTTGCTCGGTAGGTGTCCACGCGGCAGCCATTGCATCGGGCCAGACACGCGAACTGCTCGAAGTTGATGCCCTCTTGTTTGACTGTTTCGGTTCCGACGCAGCAATCGAGCATCTCCTCGTGATACCAACGCCACGACCCCTTCTGCATCACACACACACACACACCACATCACACAAACATCACAGACGTGGACGCATAGACAGATAGATGTGTATCCATTTCGGTTGGCTGACCCATGTCCGGAAGGGGTCAATCTGCAGAGCGTTCAAAACCATGGTGAGAGTGGACAGGCCACAGAATGCCGGCTCGTCCTGAGTCCGAAACTGCTCCGAGAGAGGGAAGAAGGCCTCCATGTGGCCCCCCAGCAGGGCCTCCTGGAACAGCTGTTTGCCCTCGGTGGACGTGAATGCGACGCAGCCGGCAGGGAGGGCCCGGCGGTAGAAGGACAAGTACTGGTTGGCTGTGCTGGGCGGCGGGGAGAGAGCTGAAGCCGTCGCCATCATGCGGTGAGCTGCCAGGCCAAAGACGCTACGAAACATCGCCCTGCAGCTGCATATCTATGGAGGAAGATGTCCACTTCGTCCGGGGCACCCCAAGACGCCCCCTTTCCCTCTCTCAGAAAGCCTCGTCCTTTCTGCCAGCTTGGCATCTGCGAGCTTAGCTCAAGCGTCAAAGCAAGGATGGCAGGGCCAACAAAGGGCAGGCGGCCGAGCCCCCTGATTGACAGAAAGGACTCCCTCGCCCTGCTGACCATTCGGACCTACGAGGCCAAGGACGAGGAGTACGTCAAATCCCTCCTGTTTGCACACGCACGCTCCCAGATATGGCCGGCCGTCAAGTTCTTCACCTTCCGCAACATGCAGGTCACATAAGAAGCAGGGAGGGATGGATGGATGATGCTGTGACTTGTCTGTGTGTGTGTTTGTGTGCAGGAGTGGCTGATTCTGTTTGTGCTGTTCAAGCTCTATGTGTCCTTTGTGGAACTCCTGATCATATTTGGGCTCTTCGTCATCTGGCTCTTCATACGAGCAAAGGTCGCTGACAAATAAGCACTATAGCACGCTGCGTCAGGCCCCCTCTCACTCTGTGTGTGATGCGTTGGCTGCTTCTCTGTCTGTCCTGAGGACAGTGGGAGTTCGAGTCGTACATCTACACGAGCTGCCACGACCTCGACGACATTGACAACATCTACCTCAAAGAAACAGGGTCACACTTCTGGGTAAGGTAAAGGACACATACATGGCATGCCTTCGATGCTGCAGAGATGATATACCGATAGATTTATTCTGCCCTCTCCGCCGCTCTCAGGTGGCTGAGGTGCCCCTGCCTTCGGCGGCCTCGCACCTCAAGTCCAAGCCCTCACAACACGGTCACAGTGAGGATGAGGACCGGATGATCGTCGGGTGCATTGCCGTCACGCCCTCGGTCGAGGAGCCACGGCGGGTGGCGCAGGTCATGCGACTCGTCGTGGCACAACAGTCCAGAAGAATGAGAGTCGGTACGCACGCAGAACGACCTACCGACCACCCAGCCACGTGGCTTCGATGTGGTGTGTGTATGTCGGTTTGTGATGGCAGGCACATCGATGCTAAAGGAGCTGGAGGCCTTTTGTCTGAAGGGCGGCTTTGAGGAGATCCGGTTCTGGGCCAACAACCTCAGGCCAGAAGCCATCAGATTCTGTACTTGATAGGCACAACACAGACAGACAGACAGACAGTTAGTTGGCTGGATATGTGAGTGACTTCCCTGTCTTCCAGATGAGTCCAATGGCTACGAGATCCTGTCCATCCACCAGCGCAATCTCATGCGCGGCGATCTGGTGCTCCTCAGACGACTCCTCGCCGGGACCAAAAGCGACCTGTCGCCTTCCTTACGACACGCCGATAGCACATTCTAGGCGTACCGACGGTTGGTTTCTACCTTTTTTTTCTTTTTGAGAGTGCGGTGCGACACACGTGCAGGGAGGGCATCGACAGCACGCACATGTATGTATGGATGGATGGATGTACAATTACTAGGTGGGTCGGAGGCGGCTGCGTTTCTCGCGGGTGTGCTTTTTCGTTTGTCGGGCGGGCGGGCGGGGCATGGACACACACCTGTAGATTGATTGACTGGCTGACTGACTGGAGACGGGCGCTGCCCGTGTGTGGACGCTAGCCAGCCAATGTGAAATTGCTGACAGAGAGATCTTGTCCACCAGTCAATCAGAGGTCGTCACACTAGTATATACATCACACACACACACACACACTGATCGATCCAGCTAGCTTTGCACATCATGGTCAGCAACACGGGCACCACCAGCAGCAGCAGCACCAGCAACAGCAACTGGGGCGCCGCTCTGTGTCTGTTGGTCTCCAGCCGGGGCCGGCATGGCGGCCTGCAGCCCATAGAACTCATTCTGCGGTGGCTGAGAGCAGAACTCGCGATGCTCGTCCACAAACCTACACACACACACACATCCGATGTCACACACACAGACACACACACACACACGGATGGATGGATTGCACCTCCTGCTGGTAGCTCACGTGTGTTTGTCCCTGGCGAATCGTGCGGCCCGGCTGTGGAGTGCGTCTGCGAGGAAGGTGAAGCGGCGCCGCTTGAAGGTGCAGAGCGATATGTCCACACCGGCAGGGTAAGTCCTCCTCTGCTTGGACGCCTGGTGGGCGCCTTCCTTGGCAGCGGTGCGTGTGGTGCCGTCGGTGCGCCACTCGTAGCCGTGAGCGAGCGAGAAGCGCCACAGCCCCCTCACCGTCTCAAACCACTCATCTGAACCACACACACACACAGATCAACACACACACAGATCAACACACTCACAGAGAGAGAGAGTGGGTATCGATATCGGCTGCTGACCAAGGCTGGTGGCCGTGTCCGTGAGGCGTTTGTTGAGCAGCCGCAGCAGAGATGGCGCCTCGTAAATGACACTGTCCAACACGTAATACGTCTGCACCACACACACACACGCAGAGAGAGACCGCAGCACACCACCACCAGTGGTGAGGCAGGCACCCACGAGTGATTCAGTCGGTCAGTGAATGTACGTTTGTCGGGTGCGTGACGTTGGCCTTTCGCGTCAGTTTGGCGATGATCCAGAGGTCTGAGAAGGTGATGAGCCCCCGCTGCTGCAGCTCCTCCGTGGGAATCGACTGCACCACACGATACTCGACGCCATCCAAATCACTGCAAACACACACACGCAAGCAAACACACTCGCATGAGTCACAGCGGTTGTCTCGCCGCTGTCTGCCTGTCCGTTTGACTCACTCAGGCACCTCTTCGCCTCGCCGCAGCCGCTCGTTCAGCGCCGACGAGTCGTAAAATGGCGAACCGTAGAAATCTGCACTCAGACAAGAAAGCACACATCATTCACTCATTGCTTGTCTGTCTGTCTGTCAGTGCCGTGGATGAGCACATTGCATGATATTGGTGTTGTCCAGCGGGTTGTCGCGCAGAAAGTCCTCATCGCGATGGGCACGGAACCGTGGGTCGTCTAAGCTCTCCATCACGCCCTAGAGCTCCTGCAGGAGTGGTTTCAGGGAGCACCCTAGGAGGCCTAACGGCCAAGTCCTCTCTTACAATAATCAACCAACCTGTCGGTCTCTTCAGGCGAGCAGGCCTTTCCCGTCCCACGTGTGCTGCTCTGCCACATCAAATGAGGAAGGGGTCGCGTGAGCCGCAGCTGAGCGAGAGCGGCATCGATGCCATTGCCGCAGATCTACTCTCCTCTGACGGCAGCACCTTCGCCGTGGCAGCGCAACAAGTGGCAGATGCTTGTGTGAATGAGAGGCTCAACAAAAAGGAACAGCAGCGTCTCGATGCCCGCCTTCTCAAAGACAAAGACGGGCTGAGGCGCTTGCTGTCGCGGCTGGTAGATGATCGATACAGGGAGACTCAGCTGGCTGCGGCCGATCTGCTGGTCTTCCTCACTGTGGAGATCTGTCCCGCTCTTGCAGCTTTGCAGCTATCTCAGCTGGTCGATGTGGCTCCTGTCATTGTGGACGTGGTGGGCTGGAGGGAACCAACAGCCGCCAGCAGGGGCTATGGGCCTGACGAGAGCCTCGCCGTCAAACACGTCGTCAAAGCTGATGCTGCGGTGGATGTCATGACCTATGTGCGGCTGGTGCTTCTTGCCTCGGTGCTTCAGGCTCTGCAGGATGCCGCACCCGACGAGGGCGCTCGTCTGCGGGACTCAGTGCTCGCCAACCATCAGACCACCATCAAGCAGTGTCTGAAGGTCACCCGCACCGAAACACATCGGCCTGTTTCGAGTATGGCGATCTGCGCCTTCCAATCGCTGCTGCCGTTCAGCCCGCCGCCATCTTCACCCAATGAGGACCTCACGCCCATTCCCCTCCACCTGTCCCTGCCGCTGTATACATTGCTTGCCGACCATGTGGTTCAGCTGGCGAAAGGGGCAATCCACATGGACGCAGAGGGATGGCGGCTGGCGCTGACTCTGCCTCCTATTGTTGCCGGTACAGTTGTGCGGCAAGCCAGTTGTAAGTTGCACACATTCAAGTGCTACTGACCACTCCATTTGTCGTCTTCTGTGTGTGTGTGTGTGTGTGTGTGTGTGTCGGTCCTTCAGCCCTGTGCGTGAAGGACGTCAAGCGGCTGGTCGGACAACACATTTATCCACACGTGGAGCCGCTCCTGGGCATTATCACATCGGCAGGAGGAGGGATGTTGGCTATGGCGGCGGACACACTGGGTGCCATCATGATGGGCGTCCTCAAACTCATCGACCAGTTTGACCTTCCTTCCCCTCTCCCCCTGTCGTCATGCCAGCCGCTGCTTGACAACCCCTCGCTGATCATCAAAGCCCTTAAAGCGGCCAATGCCCTCATTGGCCAAGACGCCAGGCTGCCGCCAGCCGTCTACCCCACGTTGCTCGCCTGTTTGAAGACACCGGCAAGATTAGCTATAGGTCAGGCACAATGGCGACGGAGAGAGAGAGAGAAAGAAAGAAAGAGAGAGGCGCAGGAAGGGGCACAAGCTGACATGTAAAGCGAGGGCTGGGTGTGTGCTGTGCTCATCTGCACAGATTCGGGCGACATTGATTCAGGCCATCGAGTGGTAGAAGCTGTCTGCCAGCTATTGACCGAACCTGTGGCGCCGAAATTCGTCGACTGTGTCGTCAAGCTCCTGCAGTATATGATCAAGTGAGCGGGGTGAATGCCTTGGAATAAAAGTGGCTGTCACATGTTCCAGGCGTGTGTCTGTCATGGGCTGTCCTGCAGTGGTGGCGATGTGCTGGTCTTTAAGGGCATGGCGACAAGCAACGTATTTGTCGACCAGATTGTACAGGTAGCAACGATCAAAGGAGTGTTCTGCCTTGCGGCCATACGTCCATCGCAATGTGTCCGTGTCTGATTGTGTGTTTTCTTGCCAGTGCGAGGCGATACAGCAGCTGAGAGGCCGTCGCGACCTGCCAAAAGAGGTGAGGGCCGGAGTCAACGAGACCACATGACCACGCATATGAGCCGATGGACGCACAGATTTCTCTCTGATTCCCTCCTGCCTTTCTGTGTAGGTATCGTCGTTCATCGATTCGCTCCCCAAGACGGCCACCAGGGGCAGCAGCTCAGCTGGGGCGGGCCAATCGCACTGCTCACCCACCCACATGACACCCACTCAGACTCATCATGCGTCAGGTCCTCCCTCGCTGCCTCATCCATCGACATCATCTGGCGGCTTCGATGGGCTGGAGGACGGCCTCTTCTCTGACAATATCGACACATTGTCTACGGCAGCCGAAGGCATTGTCGACTGGCTTCATGACGCCTCGAAGCCAGAGGTCACTGCATTTGTCAAGCGGTTGGCGGTGAGGTTTGGCGAGGACAGGGAGGCCTTCCGCCGCATCCTGACGTGTCTGGTGGACGGCAGCGGAGTGGAGTGCCAGGTGGCGGTCGCTGACCTGCTGGCCGGCCTCTTCTCTCATTGCTTCCTGGAGCGTATGACCCCGTCGGATCGTGTGTCGGCCGTCCAGGACATCTTCGATATCGTGACGTGGAAAGATCTTGAGGAGCTGGCTGAAGGTGGAGCGGAGGTGGCGTGCAAGGAGCTGTCGGAGGGAGGGGCGGAGGGGGGCGACAGCTTGATTGCAAAAGCTTTCGTCAAGGCATCGTCAGGCGACGAGCCGCTGCCCCGTGCCATCGATGTGGTGACATATGCGAGACTGCGCCTTATTCGATACGCCCTTGAAGCGGCCACTGCCCTCGAGGCTGCAGAAGGGCCCCAGCTTCGCGCGAGCTTCCTCCAGACCCACCAAACGACCCTCCGGCAGGCGATGGATGTCATTCGTGAGTGCAGACACGCAACATTGGCCAACGAGGCAGCCATCATGCTGAAGGAGCTGTTCGCGCGCAGCTCCTTCGGTCCGTCAATTCAACTCGTTCTCGAGTTCTTCTCCATCTTCGTCGAGGGCCTGAAGCAGCTGCCGGATGACCAGAGAGAGGCGACAAGCTCCTTCTTAGTGCCGCTGATGCATGCCGCAAATTATTCGTGGGACTCCCCACGAGAAGGTCAGAAAAGTACACATTCATATGCTCTTTGAACCAAGGCTGCTGTCCTTTGTCTTGGCAGGTATTGTTGTAGAGGAGTGGCCAGTCATCAAAGCGGCTCTCCACACACACGTCTACGCCCATCTGAAGACGCTGCTGGCCCGCATCAAAGCGTCTGATTCTTCCTCTCCCCTGTGCTTCGCGGCGATAACCACATTCGGAGCCCTTCTCCACACCGCTCACATCATCTGCATCCGAAAGAAGAAAGGTATGAAATGCGGAGACTGATGGCTAGTGGGGTAAAAGTGGATGTGTGTGCAGGTGGCCCTTTGCAGCCAGGTGACTTCGGCAAGAACATCGAGCGAGCGGAGGTGGTGAAAACACTCGCCGCTGCCCCGCCCCCGATGCAGCCGCTTCGTGCCCTCGTCCTAGATGCCACACTCAGAAATCGGGTGGCCAACGCGTTGGACATGAGCCACAGCGTGTGCAAGGATCCAACGGGCTCCTTCGCAGATTGCATCACGACTGCTCTGGTCATCCCAGCCATGGCCCTGATAGGTACGTCCGTCACTTACTCAGTCGGTGCGCCTCCAGCTAACTTCAACCATGTGTGTGTGCAGATGATGGGGAGGCCGGCCTTCTGATCGAGTCGCGGTTCGTGTCCACCCTCATCTCGCTCCTGAACAGCGCCGAGAGGATCGGGAGGCCTCTGATGAACCTCTGCATGCGCTGTGTCGCGGGACTCAGCCAGAGAGATCCGAAGGTCAGCGAAAGAAGGTCACTGACCTCACATCTCATTTGGACGAGAGTGCTGCGGTGGTGCGTTTGTTCATGTAGGTGTTGGGGACCGATGGACTGGCAGAGGCGATATGTGGCGTGCTGCTCAAAGACGCACAGGGACAGCTCCTTCCCGAAGACCTCCGTGACACTGACAGCGCTACTTCTGTCGACATCCTCAGGAGCATCGTCAGGTCAGCCATGAGCTGCAGACAAGAAAGCCCGACGCATCATTGAGTGTGTCTGCTTGTGGCTGTGTCACGAATGTCAGCTATGGCAAGTCGCAGGTCGCCAGAGGGTCGCCGAATCCCATCGTCGGGCAGATACTGCAGGTACGTTCACCGAAGCTCGTGTGTGCTTTGCCCACCTGTTTGTCTGTCTGTGTGCCACCATATCAGTTCAGGTCGGTCAAAACGATGCGGGACCGCACCAGTGGCATCGAGGTCTCACCACAAGTAAACACGGGACCATGACGACACATTGACGGCACGCAAGTGCACCTTTCTGTGCTTCCTGTGCCACCCAGGTGTCGCGCTTCCTCAATGCCCTCGCCCAGCAGCACCAGAAGGACACCAAAGCCAAGCCCACCACCCCACCGCCCCTGTCGGAGGCCCAGTTGGCGGCCCAGGAGGCCAACGCGCAGCGGATGCAGGAGGCCCTCCTCGCGGAGGAGCGACGCGAGAAGGAGGCCAAAGAGAAAAAGGGCAAAGGCAAAAAGAACAAGGGCGGCAAGGGACAGCAGCAGCAGCAGCAGCAGCAGGGGCTTGCAGGTGGGGATGCGGCGAGCCCCTCCGATGCGGTGATTGAGCCATCGGTGCCCTCCACTGCCGCATCCACCAGGTAGGGAAGCCATCCACAGACCATGGCTGACGGGACTGTTCACCTCATGTGTGTGTGTGTGCGTAGTCGGGCTTCTGCTGCGGATAAGGTTGCGGCGAGTCAGCCGGAGCCCTCTTCATCCATCGCTGACAGGTGAGCAACCCACCCACTTGACGAGATGCCCTGACACAATCACTTCCTCTGTGTGCGTGTCGATCTCTTTCTTTCCAGGTCTGGTGCGCCTGGTGTGCCATCCGTGTCAGCCGCTGCGGGCAGCGATCGGCCTGGTGATGGCGGCGATGTAGCGAAGTCGGCGGCTGGTGGGAGCGACGGTGACAGCGATGATGAGGACGGCGACGCTATGCTGCTCAAGTCGGTGTTTGCACAACAGGCACGGCAACAGCTGAGCGAGGGCAAGAAGAAGGTTCAGGCCAAACACGCCACCAAGCCCACTCCGAAGCCCACAACTCAGCCGAGTCAGCCGCCCCGCCCCTCACTCCCACCAGCACTCAGGACCAATCAGACGGGGCACATGGGCCGCCCTGCACCTGCCGCCAATGAAGACCGTTACCGCATCGGCGATGCACCCATTCCAATGCCCGCCCCCATTCCCCTCTCAAGCGCCCACTTCCCTAAGGGCCGCTTCAAGCCGTCACCTGGCAATGGGGGGATGGCCCCTCCTCTGCCGAAGCGTCCGTCACGCCCGCTGCTGTCTGACGATGACAGTCCGTCTGGCGGTGTTTCACCTCCCTTTCGGCATGTGGGAGGTCGAGGGGCGGGCAGGGGCCTCATTACGATGTTTTCCCACGACCCGCCCCCTCTTCCCTGTATCCCCTACCCCCGACTCCCGTCGGCCGACGAGCTGTGCACCGGGCCATCGCTGCAGCGGCCCACTGGACAAGACGACCGACTGCAGCCGACACGTGGCGAGAGGCCGAGGTGAGATGGTTGCAGACAATGAACGCCGTGGTCCGATCGCAATGAGTGCTTTTTCTCCTACGGTGTGTCTGCAGTCTGTCTGCTGCTGGTCCTTCGCTGAGTGGCTTCTTCGCCAATGCGCCTGTCGGGCCGGCACCACCGGCTGCTGCTGCTCCCGATGGTGGCGGTGGTGGGCTGTCGGCTGATCCATTCTATGACAGTGGCGGTGACGACATGTACTGTGTGCCGCCCCCGCCGGCCTTTCCACCGCCGCCCCCACCACATCCACCGATCGACCCAAGGTAACACGGGCATCATGTCTGTCTATCTGTCTGTCAGCAACGCTTCTGTGCATTTCTCGTTGCCTGATGTGCTGTGCAGCTCTCTCCATCGGATGGGTTCCCCTCTCCCTGTCAGCTACAACGGCGGCCCACAGGCGTCCGGCGCTCCTCCTGTACATCCATTTGATTTCCATCATCCCTTCCCGTCTGACCCACCACGTGCTGCTACTGCGGCTGGCTCTGGTGTTGGGCTGTCGGCGAACCATTCGTTCCACGACAACCATGATGATGATGACATGTATGTGCCGCCCCCGCCGCCCATATTCGAGTATGAGGAGGAGGGGTACCAGCCGCCCTCATCGAACAGTGCAGCCGACCCCTTCGCTGCGGCTCAGACGGCCTGGGCCATGCAGGGAGGCAATGGCGGGCCATCCACAGGGTATGTGGAAACAGGCAGAGAGGACACTGATGCCACGGATCACTCTGTTCCCTGGCTGCTACGTGTTTGTGTGTAGGTTTGGTGCGGTGATGAGTGCGGGTGGTCCCTCTGATAGCGAGCATCTAGTGGACCAGCTGTGTCGCCAACTCGAGCAGAAGAACCAGCAGGAGGCCAAACGAAAGGACCAGGAGGCCAAACGGAGGGCTCGTGGGGCCAAACGAAGGGCTCGGGAGGTGCAGGAGGCAAAGCAGAGGGAACAGGAGGCTAAGGAGAAGGAGGCGCTGGTGCGGCAGCTGCAAGAGGCGCAATGGAAGTAAGTGCGATTTCCGCATATCCCATTCATTTCGCTCAATGGTGTCCTGCTCGACAGGATTGCCAAAATGACGGCTCAGCAATCATCTGACCACCAGCAGCAGCCCTCCTCGTCCAGCAGCAGCTCATCGGCACCACCCCCACCCACACACCAGCCACACCAGCCACAGCTCCAGGGTGGCGAGTGCAGTCTGTGCATGGACGCGCCCGCGTCGGTCGTCTACATGCCCTGCCGACACCTCCGGGTGTGCCCCAAGTGCTACCATGACAACAAGGCCAGAGTGCACCGCAATCTCACCCACGTGAGGGCCGAGAACCACCGACGCAAGCGGGAGAATGAGGAGCGCAAGAGGCAGAACGAGGGCCGCGAGGAGAACAAGCAGCTGCCGATGGTGAAGCTGCTGGAGGAGCCCCACTATGTGTGTGAGCACTGCAATGGCAGGGTGGAGTTCGGTGGCTCGGTGGAGGAAGCCATGCAGTGGTTGGCCGACAACCTTCTCACTGCCTGACAGACAGGCAGAGAGTCGGTGACTTGGGGGGGGGGGGGG